GCCATCTTGAACCCCCCCCAAACCCCTCCCACCTTTCCCCAAATCCCCTCACCTTCTTGCTCTGCTGCTCCTTGGTGGACTGCTGGCTCAGCAGGCTCTCGATCTCCAGATCCACGTCCGACGCTGCCGCCGCCGCCGCCGCCCGCCGGCACCGCTTGGCCGCCTCCTTCCCTTCCCCGGCGCCGCCGGCCGGCTCCGCCTCGCGCCGGCGCCCCCCGCCCGGCGGCGGCGGCGGGGCGGCGGCGGCGGCGGCCATGGCGGCCAGCTTGGAGTGGTCGGCGCAGGTGACGAGGGCGGGGCCGTCGTGCAGCAGCCCCCGGCGCACCTCGATCAGCTCCTGCGCCGCGAACTTGTGCAGGAGGCTCTCCACCGCCCGCAGCGTCACCTGCGCGTCGCCCTGCGGGGGGGGGCGGCACACCTGGGCACACCTGGGTATGGGGGGGGACGCACCTGGGGATAGCTGAGGTGGTGGTGGGTACCAGGTGTGTGGCCAGGTGAGTGCCCAGGTGTACTGCCAATGCCCAGGTGAATGCCCAGGTGTACTCAGGTGTGCCCAGGTGACTGCCCAGGTATGCCCAGGTGAGTGCCCAGGTGTACTGCCAATGCCCAGGTGAGTGCCCAGGTCTGTCCCACCTGTCCCAGGTGTGCCCCCAATGCCCAGGTGACCCCAGGTGTGTCCAGGTGTGCCCAGGTGAGTGCCCAGGTGAGTACCCAGCTGTGCCCAGGTGTGTTCAGGTGTGCCCAGGTGTATGCCCCACACCCAGGTGAGTGCCCAGGCGTACTCAGGTGTGCCCAGGTGAGTGCCCAGGTATGGCCAGGTGCCCCCAGGTGTACTCAGGTGTGCCCAGGTGAGTACCCAGCTGTGCCCAGGTGTGCCTAGGTGTATCCCCATGTGCCCAGGTGTGCCCAAGTGTACTCAGGTGTGCTCAGGTGTGCATAGGTGAGTACCCAGGTGTGTCCCACCTGTCCCAGATGTACCCAGGTGTGTTCTCCATGCCCAGGTGAGTGCCCAGGTATGCCCAGGTGCCCCCAGGTGTACTCAGGTGTGCCCAGGTGAGTAGCCAGGTGTGTCCCACCTGTCCCAGGTGCGTTCCCCATGCCCAGGTGTGCCCAGGTGAGTGCCCAGGTGTACCCAGGTGTACCCAGGTGTGCCCAGGTGCATCTGCCAATGCCCTGGTAAGTGTTCAGGTGTGCCCAGGTGCCCCCAGGTGTGCCCAGGTGAGTGCCCAGGTGTACCCAGGTGTATCTCCCACACCCAGGTGAGTACCCAGGTGCCCCCAGGTGTGCCCAGGTGTATCTGCCAATGCCCTGGTGAGTGTTCAGGTGTGCCCAGGTGCCCCCAG